TAATATATTGAAAATTAGGTTATGATTGCTATCACTATAAAATGTTCTCTGCAAATATTCTCTCTCTTTAGGTGACAGTTTATTTTAAATTACTTATTGAATTGCCATTTTTAAATTTGATTTGTGTCAAAAAAAATCCAATATCTTATAAATAAAATACTTATTTTCCATTTAGCATAATTAATTTATTAAGAAATTTTATTTAATTGTTATTATATTTTTTTAATATATTAATTTACTTTGAAATAAATACAATTTTTTGAATAAAATAAAATCTATATTATTATATTATTTTTATATTTACATATTATTATAATTCTTATACATATTTTATACATACATATATATTTTTTGAAATTATAAAATACATACATAAATATTATTTATGTAGTTGTTTATTTACAAATTCAAATTGTCCAAAAACCAATTAAATATATCTTTATATAGAAATCATAGTATTCAAACTTTATAAAATAAAACTAATATTTTTTTTTCATTCAATTAAAAAAGAAATTCAATTCAATTCATTGGCTTTTTTATATTTATAATTCAGAACAAAATAATCGTTTTATATATATTATTAAAACAAAATTAAATAAATGGTTTATTTTTATGTAAAATTATATATAAAATTCGATATAATTATATTATATATATATAAGTATATATCTGAAAAAAATTTATGGAAATATTTTCGAAATTAAATTAAAATTGCATATTTTTATATTGAGTGGCAATTTCGCTTTCATAAGCTTATAAAATTTAATATATTATGACATTATTTTATTGCACACATTAATTTAAAAATGTAATAATATTAAAATATAGCTAAAATTAATTAGAATAAAATAACAAAAAAAAAATTAAATTATTAAGAGTTTAATTTTATAACATGTAACATAACATGCTGTGATAATCCCATAAACATGTTATATATAGAGTGTTTATCACACTATATACAAAAAAAAAATTTAATTTTCAAATTATCTAAAACACAGAAAGAAAATACTAAATAAACCATTTATTTAAAATCTCTGTTATACCATTTTATATAAATAACAATAAAAACTATATTATATATTATAATTGACATACTTTAGCTTTGTATGTGTGTTATATTAATTCCATTTATAATTTTTCAAATTCATTCTCTATAAACTTAAAAAAATAAAAGCAAAAAAAAACATTTATTTTTTTTTTCTTATAAATGTCAAATAATCGAAGTATCGTTAATATCAACGCAATTATATTAATTAATTTTTATCGTATATATATCGTATTTCGTTTATCGTATATCGTTTAATTTTTTTTTTTATAACAAAAATGCAGATCACATAATTTTCCAATAATAAATAAACTTTAAAAGCCAAATAAAAAAAAAAGAAAATTGTGCCAGTTAAAAATTAAAATAAAATACCAAAAAAAAAAAACAAAGAGAAAGAAGAGAAAAACTAAAAAAAAAAAGAGTTGAATTATGAAATAATGCCGAATAAAATTTAAATATTTAAACACATTGTAAAATAATATAAAAGAAAAATAAAAATATAATATTTTTGTGATATAATTTCGTTTCATTTTTATATACACACTTATATTTACATCAATATACATAACTGCATAACATATTTACATATACTTATATATATATATATATATATGCGTTTATATATATAATGTAATACAATTATTATTATACAATATTATCTGAATAAAATTTCATATTATTTAAAAATATTTAACAAAAAAATAAAACCATAACATACACTGTTTCTTAATAGATAACGAAAAATAACATAAATATATATACAAGATAAAAGTAATAAAAAAATATTAAAGTGATATATAAAATATATATATAAACAGAATATAAATAAATGAATGAATAAATAATTAAAACAAGGATAATAAAAATTAAAAATAAATATAGTTAAATAAAATCAAAATTATTATAAGTAAACTGAAAAAAGAAAATATTTAATATTTATAAATGTATAAATCCTTATTATATATATAAACATTTCATTAATCATCAAGGATAATGCTAGTAAAAATATACAACAACATTACGATTAAAAATAAATAAAAAGGATATAAAAAACAAAAGAAAAGAAAAAAAAAACGGTGCCAGTAATTTTTATTCCAAATATTATTTACATATATAAATATATACATAATTATATGCCCTATATATTTTTATAATACCCACATCATTAAATACATTTAAGTTATTCTGCATTTATTTACATATATGAGAACGCATATAACAACTATATAACAAAAAAAAAATCGAAATATCTTGCAATAAAACAAAGAAAACAAAAAAAAAATAAAGAAAGTATTCTTTTTTTTGTATGTGTAATCTTTGTATCCAACATCGCATCAGCATAAATTACAATTTAATCAAAAATAAAAATCCATAATAGGAGAAAATTAAAGATTTATGAATATCTACAAATGAAAATTATTATTTTCAATACACGCTGTACTATATTGTACACATAAGTAAATTAAAATTCTTTGAGAACGAAAAATATATTTCTATAAATTTATATTTGTAGTTGAGAATTCGAAAAGAATATATTTTTAAATAGCAACAAAATACATCGATAAAACAAGGAAAAATTCAGAAAATTTCAGAAAAATTCAAAAAATATTTGAATGTTTTAACTTCAAGGCATTTTTATAAATATTCAAGAACCAAACAAAAAAAAAAACATAAAGAAAGAGATAAAAAAAGCACAAAAGAGATAAAAAGGGATAAAATTCAAAAACAATCTTAAATGTCATCTTCTGCATAACAAAATTTTTTTAACAAAAAATACAAAAGGAGAAAAAAACAAAAAAAAAAATTTTCTAATAAGAAAAGGGAGTTCCTGTACATCATCATCAATTTAACTAAAATTTCCTTTCTCTTTTCTACACATAGTTTGAATTGAAAAATCACAATTTCTTGTTTTCATTGTGAATTTATTTTTAATACAAAAACAAAACAGGGAAAACTTAAAAAAAAATAACAAAGAAAAAAAAAAACTTAATATTTTCAATTGAAATATATTGTGGAAATTTTGATTTTATCTCACACAACACAACTATATAAGGATATTATAAGAATATTTTCAAGGATGCACATATAATATTCATCTAAAAATATATATATACATATATATATATATATATAAGATATTTAATTGTTTCTATTTAATGAGACGATAAAAAATTCCATTTTTGTTTTTATTTTTTGTCTTTCTCCTCATCAAATTTTATAACAAAAGGACGCTAGTCATAATTATTCAAAATAATCAAGAGACAAATAAAAATATTTTAAATATTCAACATTACATATAATATATATGTATAAACATATACAATAAATAATAAAAAATAATTTCTCTAACTAGAAACAATAAAATCTTAAAAAAAAGGAGAATAAAAATCAAATTTTTAGAATTCAAATAGATTATTGATTTTATAAATAATAAAAAAAATAATAAAGAACAATAAAATTTATATAATCACTGCAATAAAATTTAAGAATAATAAATTTAATAAATATATACTTACATATAAAAATTTTTTATTCATAATTTACTTACATAATATCATTTATAATTTTTGGATTACATAAGGCAAATTCTATATATTTTCAACTTTATTCAATCAACATTCCTAAACATTTTCTGTACATAAAACTACAAACATATATATATTTATTTTGTATTAATACCATATTATATATGTACCAAATTATATAATCATAAAATACATAACAAAACAAATAAACATTTAAATAAAAAATTTAAAAACATTTTAAAATAAAAAAAAAAATATTAATATTAACATTTTTGGTGTGATAAAAGCTTATTATAGGGTCACATATTATAATATTTAATTTTTATTGAAAAAAAATCTCAACATTAAAAACCATTGCAACATTGATTTATCCTTGGACAACATTAAATGCATACTGCATAGCGCAACATAATTAAAAATAAAAAAAATATATATATTTGTTTTAGCCTACATTTTCTCATCAACCACCACAATTACAACCACCACCACCACAGCATAGCAACATTTAAAATATTGTGAATAAAGCAACATTATTTTATTTTTACGAGCATTTAACAACATATTGTTAATAACCTATATTAAAAGAAATTGTTAAAGAGAAATAAAAAAAACAAAAGAGAAAATATTATAAAAGAATATTGAAATTCTTTTCTTATGCATTATTAAACAACATCAAAAAGAGAAATATCATTTATCAGAAAAAAAAAACAAAAATATTAAAAATCATCATAAAATCTAGCATCAACATATTAAATAACAATACTCAATGTACATACATCTAATTTGAAAATAGTGAATGTTTCAAAAGTAACCACAAGGAATATTATTTGTAATTGAAAATATGAGAATAAATCCTGTCTATTGAAATTTCTTAGCAACAATTTGCAAAAGCAAAAAAAGAAATAAACTCTCTTTTCTTTATTATTATTAAACTCGCATTTAATATTAATTGAATAAATGCAATAAGAGAAAAGATCAAATATATACAAATAAAAAGAACAGAGAGAAAAGAGAGTAAAAGAAAATTTTCATTTGTTGACAACGTTATACATTTTTTTATTTTGGCAACATTGAGAAGAATACGGTACTTAAACTATTATATATAAAAAAACAAAAACCTGGCTTAAATACATTAATATTTTTGCAAACATTATATAACAGCAATATTTAAGAACCGTTATATAATAACTTTTGAAGTATTAAAAGTAAAAAAAAAATTTAAAAAATTCATCAAAATTCATCATTTTATTTTTGAATTTATACTATTATTTTGCTGTTGTTGAAAATTATTTTTTTTGCGAAAACTAAAAAAATTACAAAATTTCAAACATCAGAAAAAAAAATCAGTTTTCTTGAAGCAAAATATTGAAAAAGAAAACTAAAATCACATAAGTAAATTTTTTTATTAATATTTCATTAAAATATTATTTGATCATCTCTATATATTTACATATATAATTAATAATTCTGCCACCACTTCCACCAAAAAAAAAAATCAATAAAAAAAAACACCACTACCACAGTAAAAATTATTTAATTTGCAATCATCGAACATAAATCATCATTTATTTGGCATCTTACAATTAAAAAAAAAACGCTTCACCAATAATCAAAAAAAAAATATTTTTTACAAAAATAAAACCATTTAATTTATGTATAAAAAACCGTCCTAAGTTTCAAACTAATAAAGTTTTATAAATTATAATCATCGTAGCACATCCACAACAAGAACAGCAACAACTACATCAACTCCAACAACAGTGGCAACAACTACAAGTACAGCAATATCATCAACAGCAACAACAACAACACAACTCAATTCAACAACAGCAATCTCATTTAAAATTTACAAATAACTTAAGTGATATTAAAAATTTACAACAACAATTAGAAAAATTTTTAAAACAACAACAAAATATTCAATTCCAAAACCAGTTTATTTTAGATAAAGTTGAATATTTATTACTATTATTAGGTATTAATTCAACATATTTAAATTTAAAGACATGAATCATCAGATAGAGCAACAACAGAAACATCTTCATAATCTTCAATTATCCGTTAAATCACCGAATACCTTAAATTCACATTTTGGTTTAGGAAATTTAACAAATAATTTAATTGGAGGTGATAATCTTAATAATAATAACAATAATAATAATATAATAAATAATAATAATAATACGAAAATTCTTAATAATAATCATAGTAATAATAATAACAATAACAATAATAATAACAATAATATAAGTGATTTAAATAATCAACAATTAAATAAAAATAGTGGTAGTGGTTTTGGACATTCAATATTTCAACAACAACAAAAACAATTACATATACAACAAATGTATCAAAAACATAATCAACAACAACAACAGCAACAAATAATGCAGCAGCAACAACAACAGCAACAACATTCTCCACCCAGTCTACATAGATCAATTTCATCGAATTCATCATCACAAATGTCTTCGCCACCATCATCTAGCCATACGACATCAACATCAACAACTGGTGCAACAATTGTTACACAACAAGATAATTTAAGTTTAAATTCATCATCCCAAGCAATACTTGAACATTCTTCCCATCTTGGTAATAATCAACATTCCAATGAAAGTGATATTCAGCAATCTCAACAACAACAGCAACAACAACAATCGAATCATCAACAACAACAGTCACAACAGCAACAACATCATCATCTTCATCATCATCATCATCATCAACATCGTCGAAATTCTTCTTCGCCAGGAAATAATAATTTATCATCGAAATCATCATGTTGGTGCTTTGGTAAGTTTTCTATATATATGTACATATATGTATAGCATAATATAGTCTTGTTTTTTTTTTTTGTTCTTTATTCACCTTTCCTTGAAAATTATTTTAAGGATGGCTAATTAATTTTATTCTTATTTATAAGCTTATAAAATATGCATATTAATGGTAAACAGAGATTATGAATTATATTCGTATATATTTTCTAAATTATTTTATTTGTGTGATTTCAGACAAGTTATTTTATGCGTTTTTAAATTATAGTTTATATAGCTTTAATTTTTTGCACAAAATGTTTTTATGGCTAAATATTTTATTTAAATTAAATTGAATTAGCAAATTTAATTCTATTAAATATTTTCGAAAAAAAAAAATTAAATATACGACAGCGAATTGAATTTAGTCTTTAATTAAAATGGAATGCCCGAACATCATATATTTTAAATAAAATAGAAAAGTACCACCTCAAATACCAATATTATTTCCTTATGTTCCAAATGTCTTACTCAAATTTGTACAATAAATACTCCAATATTTCTTCCTTTAATTTTGATTTTTTGTTTTAAATTTTGATTAATTGTTTATGCCATCTTCAGGTTATTACAAGAATTTCATGTATAAAATGACATTTACAATAAAATCCAAAGTTTTTGTTTATTTTTTCAATTTAAAATTAAAATTTTAAATTCAATATTTTGGAAAATTCACTTAAAAATCACCCCTGCAGTTAAAAAGAAGAAATAAACAAAAACAATTTTAAAATAATTTTTGTTTTCAATTTAAAACAATTTATTTGTCCTTTTTCTGCTCGTATTTATGACAAATTGTAATAAGTAATATACAAATAACACTTCAGAGGCAAAATATTTACAATTTTACATAAAAACTGTCAATTAAATTGAATGGAATAACCTACAAACCTAAAAATGTCAATGTTATATTTTTCCTATTAAAATTAAAAATTCCTGATTTTCTATTTTTATTTTTTCTCATTTATGTAATTTGTTATAAATGTGAATAAAATCAAAAATTTTTATGATATAAACAAAAAGATAAAAGAAAAAAGAAATTTCCATTAAATTAAAAAAAAAAATTTTTTAAACGCATCATAAAGCATAACGGTAACACGTTACATATATATCCTTTGCTTTTTGTATATATGCAATACGCAAAATTACATTAACACAAGGATTAAGAGCTGCAATGATATATAAATATATGTCTGTATGTATGTATACCAGTTTTTTTTTTTGTAATAAAAACAAAATGCAGTACAATTTTAGAGCATTGAGAACATTAAAGCCTGCCTGCTGATATTTTTTTTATTACAACAGACAATTTTTCCTTGTTGAAAAAAATCATAAAAAACAAATACAATGGCAAAAGGAAAAAATTTGAAACGAAAAAAAAAAAATCCATACAAACCACCTTTTTTGTTTGTACTCTTCATTTTTTTTCTTGGTTTTATTTTTTTTTATTTTTTTCTTTATTTGTTTTTTTTTTTTTGGCAAACAACACAGGACCTAGAGTAAAGTTAAAATTGTAATAAATATCCTTTTTTGTATAAAACCAAATATATTTATAATAATATTTATAGCTTATATAAACGAGGGCCATAAGAGGAACTCTATGATTTCGTTTCTGTTATACAATCTGCATATATTATATATACATAAGTGTACATTTATTTCAATAAATATATTCATAATATGCATACATACTTGGTATTGTATTCAAAAATATATGAACATTTATAAATATTGCGCCAAAAAGTATGCAATGTAATGTATAGGGTTTGTATTACATTGTGTACATATTATACAAGAGTAAATAAACGTATATATATACTCTAAATGTATGTATATACACATTTTATGTGTATATGTAGGCACATTTATAATCTCTTTCACTATTAATTATGGGAATACTGATGGTACTTGTGATTACCATTGGAACTTATACTGTTTCATGCTGCCATATCCTTTTGTTATAATGTGTAACCAGTTCGTCTCTTATATTTTTCTGGTAAAGATGAAAAAAATACAAAAAAAAATAAAAAAAAATAGAAAATGAACAGAACAGAAAATGAAAAAACTATAAATTTTAAAGTTTTTTCTTTGCTTTTTTATTTTTTATTTTTTATTTTTCTTCTCTGTACTATTTTTGTAATCTGGGAATTTTAAATACACATTAAGGCTCTAGTTAGTATTATGGTATAATTTTTATTCAATGGTACATACATATACAAAATAAAAGAAAAAGAGTGAAGAGATGATAGTACCAAAAAAAAAAAACCAAAAAAAAATAGAAAGAAAAAAAAGGAAACCAAAAGAATTTACGTCAACATTTTTTGTTCTCCTAAGTTTATTTTGTAATTTTTTTTTTTGTTATTTTTTAACACAAATATTTATTATATCTAGTTATAATAGTGTTATAAACACACTGTAACAATCTCATATATTATATGATATAGATTCATATAAGTATAGACACTCTGTAATGTTGACCTAGTTCAAATGTAAATTGTACAATATAAAAGGATTTTTAAAATTATATGCAAAGTCAGATAACCTATGTGTGTGTGTGTGTGGTAGGTTTTTCTTTTTATTCTTCTCAAATTGAACTTTAGGTGTACCATGTAATTTTAAGTTTAATCTAATATTTTAGATTTAATGGTGAAAATATTTACTTAACTTTTTCCATAATCTCACATATATAAAATAATTGCACATTCAAGATAGAAGGAGACAAAAAGTGAAAACAAAAAAAAAATCCAAAAAAGAGTAGACCCAAAAAAAAAATTAATTAAATTTTAGTTAATTAAAATTTAATTTTATTATAATGAGTAGAAATTAAAGAGAGAACCAAAGAAGCAAAAAAAAAAAAAAACTTTTAAAGTTTTGTAGTCAAGCTGAGAACTTTTGAAAAAAAAAAATTCTTTGAGAATATTTATATAATGTAAATCTGTTTGAGATTTTAAAATTTCATTACAAACAATTTATTTTTTGGCTAATTAAATATTAGGAAGCACTTGCGGATACTTTGAAAATATTTGTGGTGCATATTTTGTATATTATGATGTGATCAGATGCATTAAAACATTTTCTATATTCACTAGTACAATGTGAGGTTATCCATATTATATTTAGAAATTGCAATATAAACCCTATTAAATAATATTTCCACTTTTAATTTAAGGTAATTAATATTAGGTATTTAAGTTAATTGTACTATTAAATATTACTGAAATTTTTGTATAAGTGATTTAAATTTATAGAAAATTAAAATTTATGAAATAGAATACCAGTAATTTATTCTTACCGTGGATCTTACAAATACCACAAAATCAAAGATACTTATAATCTAGCAAATCTAATGAAAAGTGTATACCTCAAACTAAATTGTTTTTTTCATACCACATACAGATTAGCCATCATTTTATTTTTCGGCTTTTAGAGTGATTCGAATTGTAGAAGTCTCTGTAATTTTAAATTTTAAGTGTAAGTAAAATATTTTCAATTATACCCAAATAATTAATATATGGCTTGTTCGTCGCAAGGTCATCATTTATGGCTTTTACTTTAAAACACCACAAGCAATTTATTCCTTTGCAATTTACATAATAAATTTTTCTTATAAAAATTCATGTTTTTTATTATACCGAAATATGCTATTAAAATTTTCGTCATTTTTCGAAATTGACGAGAGAGCTTATTTATATTTATACGTGTAAATGAATGTTTTAATTTTTAATACAAAATATCTAATCTTAATAATGAATAAAGAGAATAATTCTATGGCATTATATTTCAACAGGGGTGTATTTGAAATATTCAATTTTAGTCTAATTAAATTAAAAAATTTGGTTACAATTTTCATAACCTCCACAATTATACTTGTAATTATTACTTTGTAGTCAAAATTTATAAAAAAAGATTTATTTAATTTTTATATTAAAAATAAAATCTGAAAGTTTAAATGAATAAATTTTAAAATTTTCAATTCTTAACACAAAACACTAACACCATCTTTCTGCAAATATACCAATCACATATATTATAAAAAATCAGAGAATTGCTTAGCATTATTTACAAGAAGCGAAAAATAACAAAAGCAAAATAAAATAGTTCCAAAACAAAAACATTTCACAAGAACCCAAAAAAGTGTGCTCTTGTTTTAAAAGCGAATTACACGATGTTAAAAATAAACACCACATATAACTTTTATTTCAAGGACATTTTTTAAAATTTTCATATGAAATCTTAATGAAATTTCATTTGTGAAAAATTCTTTCTGTTTTATCAACAATTCCGCTGTACAATTCTTTTAAGAATTTTAATTGAATTATAACATTAAAATAAATTAAAAAATTTTACGAATTTTTTTAAGAAAAATAAAACAAAAACTCTTTTTTTTTTTGTTTTTCTGATTTTTTTTTCAATTTTAACATTATTTTGTTCAGATATTTTTAGCATTGGTGATAATTTTACTAAAAGAATAAAGAAAAGTAACGAAAACAAAAAAAAAAAAACAAAATTACAGACACAAACAAAAAATATAAATTTTTTTTTTCATTTTTCTTTTGTTTTAATTTTATTTTGATTTTGTTTTGCTTTTTTTTAAATAGCTTAGCTATAAAAGTCTCTTAAATATTTATACTAGGCTAAATAATTCCCTAGGCAAAATGGCATTCTAAGTACATGCTCATAAAAACAAAATTTCAAATATCCTCACATACATACAAATACAAGTGAATGTATGTATGGGCTTAGGTACTTTATCTTACATAATATATATATATATATATAATGTGTATAAGTACCATAATATATCTACAATTTTTATGTTGTCTTTTATGTAGCAAAATGTTGGAATGTGTACAATAAAATTATTTTTTTATTTTCATTATTTCACTATTTTTCTATACATAATGTTATACTCATTTTATGTATTTATAAATGTATATATGTATATTACTTAGCTACATATATAAAATATTTACAAATACATTGATC